CGTGGGCCCCGGGAGGCGGGGGAGAGACCGGGAATCGAGCGTCCCGCCACGTCAGTCACCGGCCCGGAACCTATCCCGGGCTTGGCGGATCCTGAGGGGGCCTCATTGTGCCGGGAAGAGGCCTGAGGAGAAAGAAGGCCTCTCTTCCCCCGCTCCTGGAGCAGCGCCCCGAAAACCTGCCCGGGCACACCGGGCTCCCCTGACCCGCCAAACACGGAGAGAACCGTTGGTTACCTCCGGGGAACGCCGGCCAGTTTGTTTTTGGAAGCTTTGTGCATCCGGTATTGGGATTTCTGATCCAGGCTGAGAATTTCGGCCTGGAGAATAGCAAATGTGCTTGTTTCTATAGGACCTGCTCCTCACCTAGCATTGCAAACCGCAATGAAGAACCAAGACAAAAAGAATGGGGCTGCCAAGCAATCAAGCAACACTCCCCACTCAAAAAGCAACGCGGGGCAAGCGGAAGCTGGACCAGGGGGAGCCCAGGGGCTGCCCAGCCAGTCGGCCTCTGCGACAGAAGCTGAAGGTTCCACCAGCCAGACTCCAGGGAACACTGAGGGTGTGTGCCAACTCTGCTTTTCCATCGGACAAGGGGAGGAGTTTGCGGTGTGCCAGCCTAGCTCCTGGAGTTAGAGGCCCCTGTTTACCCAGAAAGAAGGAACTGTAGAATGAGAGGGAGGCCAGTGCTCTGCCTGTGCGATCCCCACCATGTCCTAGGGAGTTGGTAGAGCCTTGGACTCTTAAGAACAGGAACAGAATTGAGAGAAGGCTTTGACAGGATTAAATCAGGTGGCAGTCAAATGAGACACCCAACCTGCAAGTCCAGGTTAGAAACACCTTATGCACCAGTGGATAACTGCTTTTTATACTTGAGGCATTTTGGAACTTTTTTAACATCAAGAAATGATTTCAAAGGGAGGAAGAGGGGGTGGAGTAGACATTGAGCTCCTGCTACATGCCATCCCTATGCCCTGAATGCTTTACTTACTTGATTTCTTTTATAGTCACAACAAACATGGTTGGGAGGTAGTGAGAAATACTCATGTCATTTTATAGGTAAATGAGCTGAGACTTAAAGAAATTAGGCAACATTTAACCCAAACCAGTAAGTTTGGGCCTGAAAAATCCCAACCAGTGGTATAACCATCTTATTTCTCACTCTGCCCCTCATTCTCTCCTGTAGGAGCACAAGCCAAAAACTCTCAGTCTGGGGCCCTCCGTGATGTCTCTGAGGAGCTGAGCCGCCAGTTGGAAGACATCCTGAGTACATACTGTGTGGACAACAATCAGGGGGGCCCAGGTGAGAATGGTGCACAGGGTGAGCCTGCTGAACCTGAAGATGCAGAGAAGTCCCGGACCTATGCCTCAAGGAATGGAGAGCCTGAACCAGAAACCCCAGTAGTCAATGGTGAGAAGACCTCCAAGGGAGAGCCAGGCACAGACGAGATCCGAGCAGGTGATGAGGTGGTAGACCGAAACCACCGAAGGCCACAGGAAAAGAAGAAAGCCAAGGGTTTAGGTGAGCAGAGGGCAACTACTTGTGAGCATCTTGAGGGGAGGGAGTTTGGACTTGACATTCCTTGGGCTATCCTGCTCTTCTAGGATTTAGAGGAATCCCTACTGCCCAGAGCAGTGTATCACACTAGTTTAATCATAGCCAGGGCTATGGGGCTGTAGCATAGAGGCACGCAGGTTATTCACTGCACAGGGGCTTCTGGCTTTGGGAGCGAGTGAGAACCGACATCCAACCTGCTCTCTGAGAAAATGGAGAGGAGAAGGCCTGGGTGGACTCCTATGCCAGCCATCACCATTTCTAACCTGTGCGACCTTGGGCAAGGCCTTTCTTTCTGGCCCTTAGTTGTCACTTCTCTACAGTAAGAATTGTACTAGACCAGGATTGAAAACTCAAAGAAGCCAAGAGCATGCCTGCTTTATTCAAAGGTTACTCACTTGGTCCCAGCAAGTTGATAGCATGTGAAACTACAGGCTAAGTTTAGACAGCCTTCCTTGTTTTTTTTTTAAAAAAGTGAGAGTTATGTGCAATCTAGATTTAACAGTTGGCAACTGATATGCTAGGCCCCAAACAAAACCCATCTGTGGGTTGGATTTGGCCGGTGTGATTTGCAATCTCCACACTGATCTCTCGGAGCTTCCCAGGGTTGCCACTCCAGAAGCCTGGTGCGGTGCAGTGCGGTGCGGTGCGGTGCGGTGCGGTGCTGTGCGGTGCGGTGCGGTGCTGTGCTGTGCTGTGTAGTGCTGTGCTGTGCTGTGCTGTGTACGGCGGCCTTCCAGGGAAACTGAGGGAAGAATCTGACTCAGGCACAGGCAGTGGAAGAAAAGTCATTTGGGTGAGGGTGGGAGTAGGGGGCTAGTAGGGGTTTCTTAAAGAACCAGTCAGGCGGTATTGTACCCACCCCCTAACTGTCATCCTAATTTAAAGAAAATTTTTTTGTTTGTTTATAATCCTAGGATCAAATATTGGAAAGTATATTCATTTTTAAGTTCCTTGTATGGCTACCTCTGTAAGAGTTTAGTAGTTCTCAGGGAGACCTTTTTTTGTGGGTTTTTTAAGTTTTATTATTTTTTTTGTTTTTGTTAATCCTCATCCCAGGATATTTTTCTATTGATTTTTAAAGAGAAAGGGAGGGAAGGAGGGAGAGGGAGAAACAGACAGACATCAGTGTGAGATACATCAATTGGTTGCCTCTGGTAAGCGCCTGATCAAACCCACAACCCTTCAGTGCGCTGGCCGGATACTCCAGCCACTGAGCCACATGGTCAGGGCAGAGACCTGTTCCTTTTTTTGTCCTTCCTCTTTCAGGAGGGAGGGTGTTCCTTGCATTGAAACAGTAGTACTGGATTCACAGATGAGACCTTTTTTTATATATATATAAATATGTATATATGTATGTATTGATTTTTAGAGAGAGAAGAAGGGAGAGGGAGAGAGAAACACCAATGTGAGAGCAGACCATCGATGAGCTGCCTCCTACACGACCGCCATGGGGGATTGAGCCCACAACTGGGAATGTGCCCTGACTGGGAATGGAACTGGCAGCCTTTTGGTGCACAGGATGATGCCCAACCAACCGAGTCACAGCAGCCAGGGCAGGGACACCTTTCTTAAACCTGTTGGTAGAGCAAGTGTTGTTTTTGTCCCATTCCTGGTGCTCACCAAGGAGATTCCACAGAGATTCAGTCATTCATTTAATAAGTATTTGTGGAGCATGTCCTCTGTGATGGGCACTAGGGACAGCACTGGGCTACATTCATAGGCAGAATTGAGTTGGTCCCAGCCCTCATGAAGCACACAGACTAGCAGGGAAGGCAGCCAGTTCAATAAACAGAAATATAAAGTATGATAGGGGAGGTTTGTCTCAAGGCAGAAGAGTATGAACTCAGGCCCAGAGGGTACTCCCAGAGAATTGGGTACATGCCTTTGTTCCCTGTACTTTGCAGGAAAGGAGATTACATTATTGATGCAGACATTGAACACGCTGAGTACCCCAGAGGAGAAGCTGGCAGCTCTGTGCAAGAAGTATGCTGAACTGGTCAGTTCTCCCCCTTCTCCTTGCACCCTCTCTGCCTCGGAATGTCAGCAGGCCACTCAGCATGGGGTTGAGGGTACAAGGGCAGGTGGGTGGCTTAATTTCTGTTCAACCTCTCTGAACCTTTTCCTCATCTAACTAGGGGGTCAAGTCCCAGCCAACTCCATCCAGTCTGACAGTAAGAGGAGAAATTGCACATTCCGGTGCAATAAAATTAATTACTTGATATTTTCTTTATCCGCAGGCCATAGTCAAATTTCCCCAGTTGTTTAAAGATGTCACTTTGATCAAATCAGAGTCCAGAGGAGGTCCATTTATTACATTAGGTTGTTAGGACATTTTTTTCCGCTTTACTCCAAAGCAGTTTTCATCTTACTGCCGTGCCCTTTTTCCTATAACAATGACTTATTGCAGATCAATTGTCCTGTAGAGTGCCCCACTTTCTAGTTTTGTGGTGGCATTTAACTTGTTCCTTTACCTCCTTAGTTCCTATAAATAAAGTGGAAGTTAGCTCTAGGAGCTTGATCCAATTCAAGTTCAACTATTTTGACAAGAATTCTTCATAGGTGAATCACAGGGGAAACAAAGTGTAGTCACCTTACTTTTAGAGATGAAAGATTGTTCAGGGTCCTTCCTTTTGTCAGGTTCCCCATCAAAATTTAAACAGATTCATCCACTGAAGGTTATTGCCTAATTTAAATTACTTCATCCCATTCACATTTATTAGCTGGAATTCTCCTATAAGGAACTTTTCACCTATAGAATGGGGGAAATTATACTTGCCTAATGGGATTATTATAATGATTAAATAAAGGAAAGGATACGAAAAAGATACCACGCTTTCAGAATGATCCAGCCATGGAAAGATTGATGATGGCAGGAGAGGAGGAAGTGAGTTGCTAGAATGATGTTCTCGAGTAGGTGAGAGGAGATGAGGTCCATTGCACCAGGAGAGGGGTCTGCCGTGGTGAAAAGCAAGGCCAGGTCCTTGTCACGAGGAGAGGACAGATGTAGGTGGACTGGCGGATCTGGAGCGTGTGCCGCTGCTCCTCCAGTTGCGTTTGTGTTCTCAGGGACACGGAAGTGACCATTTCAGCTGGGGCAGGAGGTTTGAAGAGGGGGATGAAGTAGTGACCTAGAAGAATGAATAACGTGGAAACGTAGGAATGCTGGATAGACGGGCAGTGTGGCCTTGAAGTTAAAGTGGAATCTTTTAAGCAGAGGCTGCTTTGGTGCCAGTGCAGGGTAAGCAGGAAGCCGATATACTAGGGTTGGGATTTTTCTGGGAAGAGGGCAAGAGTTGAGGGCATAAGGAATCTAAACTGGATAAGAAGGAAAGTGAAAGGATGGTTGGGTCAAAGGATTGAAGGTCCAGTAGGGTAGTAGACCTTCTAGGACCGCAGGTATTGATTGAGGGGGATGAGCTTGGCAGGTAGGTGGTGGTGTGTGGTGCTGGCTTGGGGTGAGATCATGGAGGTTGGTGCAGTTCTGAGTGGTGACAAAGCAGCCAACTGAAGTGTGACTAGTCTGAATCTGGATGTGCTATAAGTGTAAGATACACAGTGTGTTTAACAGACCTAAGAAAAAGGAAGACTGTAAAATAGCTCAAACTTTTTACATTGATTCTAGGTTGAAATTATAATATTCAGATATTAAAGTTGGTTTCACCTATTTTATTTTTATTTTTACTTTTTTAATGTGGCCACTAGAAAATTTTAATTGCATAATTGAATCATGTTCTGTCTACTGTTCAGCATGAAAAGGCTCATGGGAGGAGCTAAGCTGAGAAAGGACAGGGTCCAAGGAGGAGGTTAAGGACTATGAGGCCAGGGAGTCAGAAGAATTGTCAGTAATGAATGAAAAGGCCAAGATGATAATAGGAATCATGTTGAAGAAAGAAATGGTGCATCGGTGCCAGAAGTCTTGGAGCAGAGTGATGGGGTCTGTTGAATACAAAGAGGGATAGGCAGCAGGTGGTCTCATCTGAAGGCATGAGTGTCCCCAGAGTTGGGGGAATATAATGGTCTGAGAGTCTTGAGAACTTTGACTCTGGAATCAGAGCTGGGAAAGAAACTGGGATCTGCTGGCTGTGTACCTCTGCTTGTCCTGTCTGAGCGACCATTTCTGTATCCATGAAGTACAGGGGCCTTTAGGGTTATCGTGAGGAGCAAATGAAGCACCTGCACACTGTCCGACTTGAGCTATTATTATGGCTGGAGTCTAGGGAGAGAACTAGGGTCAGTTCAGCTCAGGAGACCCTGGATCCTCATGGAGAGAGCCTCGCAGGGCACTTACCTGACCTCCTGTCCCCAGCTGGAGGAGCACCGGAACTCCCAGAAGCAGATGAAGCTCCTGCAAAAGAAGCAGAGCCAGCTAGTGCAGGAAAAGGACCACCTGCGCGGTGAGCACAGCAAGGCCATCCTGGCCCGCAGCAAACTCGAGAGCCTGTGCCGTGAGTTGCAGCGCCACAACCGTTCCCTCAAGGTACGCTGGCTGGGCCCCCTGAGAGGGACAACTGGTTACCTTAACTTCCACTAATCTTTGGTGGCTTTCCCCTTAAAGACTAGCACAGGCTTTCAGTATAGAAATAGATTTTTGCAGTAATGCCCTGCCTTAGGGAGAACTACTTGTAACCATTGGATGTGTCCTTGTGTTAGGTAAGGTGAAGGCTTAGGAGCAGAGAGAACCCACAGTATAGGCCTTCCAAGAGTTCTCAGTTCCATTGCAGTCCCCAGGTAAGCTGGGGTCTGGCGCCGACCAGCAGCTCTTACCCCCAAGCCGGTCAGTCAGGAATGTGGGTCCTTTCTCCTTGTTCTGCCTCTCCTAGGGTGGGGTCACTCTGGGTAAAGCCTGGTCATGGCTGTGACCTCCAGGTCATTTTTGTATGTATATCCTTTATATATATCCTAAAATTTGGATTAGCAAATATGTAGTATTTTGCCACTTGCTTTGCTCATTTTTGTCTTTTAAAACATTACAAATTTAATGTAAATTTGATGTAAGGGATTCAAAGGTGACAAAAGTGTAACAAATCAAAGGTAATAGTTGCCCACTGTCCTCAACCCCAGTGCCCAGCAGAAACCTCTGGAAAATAAACCTAATAATATGTAAGTTTAAGTACAACCTTTTAACTTTCCTGTCTACATATAAAATCTTACAGATTTTTAAATGAAAGTATTGCACGTGTATTGTGTCATATCCTAGTCCATTTTCTTGCTTTACACAGTGCCTTATCTTTCCCTGCCAGTGTACATAGAACTGTCTCATTCTTTTTTTTTTTTTTTTCATTCTTTTTAACAATATCATCATATGGATATTTTGTATTTTATTTATGTCCTCATTAAGGTATTTTGGGGTTGGTTTTAATTTTTCACTATTACATATGGAGAGTTACAGTGAGAATTCTTGCTACATATATCCCTGGCTAATTACATAGAACTTATCTGTAGGATAAATCTCAGAAGTGATATGTCTGGGTCAAAGAGTATGCAAATTTTAGTAGATTTTGCCAGATTTCCTTCCCACTAACATTGTCTGATTGCCTAATTCTTGCCAACCCTGGGTATTACTGAATCTTAACTACTTGGTGGGGGGTTGGGTGGGGGAGTGTCAAAGATGAAAGCGCATTGAAATGAGACTACTTAAGGCCCTGGCTGGGTAGCTCAGTTGTTTAGAGCATTGTCCCAATACACCAAGGTTGTAGGTTCAATCTCTGGTCAGGGCACAAACAAGAAGCAACCAATGAATGCATAAATAAGTGGAATAACAAGTCGATGGTTCTCGCTCTCTCCCTCTCCTCCTCCCTCGCCCTCCCTCTTTCCCTTCCTCTCTAAAAAGTCAATTTTTTAAAAAACAAGACTATTTATAGGTCTGGAAAAATAGGCTTCAGGAGATCCAAAGCTTGTTAGAATGGCACTTAACATGTATACCTGCATTTTTCTAGGGAGAGACTCTCTCCCTCGGTGCCACCGAAATACAGAAGTGTCTATTAGGAGCCCCCATTGCATGACATCCTGGAGCCTGGCTACTCCTCACTTTGAGAACAGGGAGGACTATTGATAGAGACCATTCTGGCCTAGTTGGGGGAGCCTTTTGAGGCTGGCTGGGGAGCAACAGATGATGGAGCTGGGGCTGACTTCTCTGCCCAGGAAGAAGGCGTGCAGCGGGCCCGGGAGGAGGAGGAAAAACGCAAGGAGGTGACCTCGCACTTCCAGGTGACACTGAATGACATTCAGCTACAAATGGAGCAGCACAATGAGCGCAATTCCAAGCTGCGCCAGGAGAACATGGAGCTGGCTGAAAGGCTCAAGAAGCTGATTGAGCAGTATGAGCTGCGAGAGGAGGTGAGGTGTTATGGACAAGTCACCATGGCCCAGGAATTGGGAGGTTCTGGGTGTGTGGCAGGCTCTTAGACAGCACTTTGCAGGCTTCATTCCATTCTCCTTCTTTGGGAGGGGAACAATGTTGTGCATCCTCATGCAGACGAGGAATTGAGGTAAGGAAAAGAGAATGTCCCATAGCCACATGACCACAGGTCCACAGTATCTGTCCTAAATGGTAGAGCCAGGTATCTTGTAGAATTAGAACTGTCCAAGTGTTAGAATGGAGATATGTTTGTGTATTGTGTATTACGTAGCACCCCCGGCAGGGCCTTGCTTGTAGCAGCACCCCTGAATCAGACACGTTAATATTTATGCAGTTAAACTTCTGAGTATATACACACCTAGATTATAATTAGCTATACAAAGGTAGAGGTCAAGTTTGTCTGCCAACTTCTGACAATTTCAGTTTTCAGAATTTTTTAGAATTTGAAATTGCAGGGGAGGAGCTGGACCTATAGTCAGTGATCGACTCCAAAGGCTATGTCCTCTGATTCCTTGCTGCTCTGCTATCCCTGCCACCAGAAAGGGCTGGATGTCACAGCCCTGGCTGGCATTGGCTGCTTCCCAGGGCACTTGAGTCCCTCTCTTTGGGTGTCCACATGCTAATCACTGGGCTGTTCTGGGCCTCTGTTTCCTTGTCATGAAAAGAGAGACTGGCAGCTACTTTACAGTCCTGGACCAGGCCCCTTACTAGGCCCTAGGGGTGTGGTGATAGGTGATAGGTGAGATAGGCAAGACCCTGCTGCCTTTTGCTCACAGTCCAGTGTGGCAGTCTTATGCAGGGTCTAGGGGGCCCTCCCCTGACCCACCTTGTCTTTTCCTGTACTTTGTCCTCTGGGAACAAGGGTGCTTGTGATGCATTTGGTTTGAGAGGAGTCTGGTTGGTTCCTGTTCCTCAGCACTGAAAGACATGGAGGCTTCCTGAGCCACCAGAGTAGGGCACCTACTTCAAGAACCTGAGGACTCTCCCCCCCTGCCCCGTTTCACCCCAAGGCAGAATAAGACTTGGTACTGCCTGTGGAGGTAGAGTTATGGGGTCCCAGGCCCTATGCTCCTCGTTTATACCTCACCCCAGTCAGGATCAGGCTCTGCAATCCTGGCCCCTCTGAGCCTCTAGACTTCAGTTCCCAGGTGACTGAAATTTATCATGTCCCAAACTGGACACATCCCCAAGGCACCTTCCCTTCCTCATTCAAAAAATACATAGAATGCCCTACATCCCTTTTTTCAGTTGCTTTTACCTTCGAGGTAGCACTTGATAGCATCTTCGCTCTATCCCTGCTCTCTCACCCATCCCAGTTCCCAGGGCTCCTCCTGCAGGCGGGACAGCCATTCCTTGGGATATCAAATCTTCCCTGTAGATTGAGCAGAGCTCTGCCAGTAGAACTAAGTTGTTGTATTGACAGAAGTGTTGTTTTTGCCCTTCCCACTTAAAAGGAGCTGGGCTGCAATAGTGAGAGTTGTCAGTCCAGTGGGTTGATCTCTCTTGGGGTGGAGATTTGCGTATTTATTAATTGGTGTCCTGGGAGCTGATTTCATCCACAAACCCCTGTGCTCACCCAGGACTGACTCAATGGGCGAGAAATAAGGTATGGTTGGGAAGTAGACTTTCCCGGAACTTGGGGCCCACATCCTATGGTACACATGGGAGTCCAGCATGTCAGATTGAGGTAGGCTGGGCAGGGGGCCCTGGGGTCTGTAGCTACTGGGCCTCCCTGAGAAAAGGAGCTCAGGTGGACCCTTCTCACCATGCTTTCCTGCAGCATATCGACAAAGTCTTCAAACACAAGGACCTGCAGCAGCAGCTGGTGGACGCCAAGCTCCAGCAGGCCCAGGAGATGCTGAAGGAGGCAGAGGAGAGGCACCAGCGGGAGAAGGATTTTGTGAGGCTCAGGCTCTGGGGTTGGGGGGTACTGGAAGTGGTGGGTTGGGTTCTGGCTTAGTTCATAGTCAAGTTTGTATGGGAAAGGTTGCTGTCTGGCCAAACCAGGCACTGCCTCCTCGGACACCAGTCAGAGAGCAGAAAGCCTCAGTGGGTTCTGCTGTATATGGCAGAAAACACACACACCCCTCGGGGCTTCTGATGGGGTGTGCTGTTCTATCTTGGGAATAGCTCCTCAAAGAGGCAGTGGAGTCCCAGAGGATGTGCGAGCTGATGAAGCAGCAGGAGACCCACCTGAAGCAGCAGGTGAGACACTATGCATCCTGATCCTGTGCCTCCAAGGTCTCCTCACTGGGCCCTGTCCTGCGGGGAGGGAAATGGGACCCTCATTGTAGGACTCCCTTGACTGCTGTATGACCTTGCTGAGTCTTTGTTCTCTCTGGACCCGCCCAGCACCTGTGTGGTGGTGACCAGGTGGCTAGGTGAGCTCAAAGAACTTCATTCCTAGTCACAAGCATTGTGCTGCTTTTAAGGAGGTAGGGGACAAATGGTTGTTTTTAATTCTGTAAATTATACTTAATTTCGGAAGAAACAGTTGAAAACTAACTAAGGCAAAATATATCACCCCAAATCCTACTTTCTGGGCTTACATAAAGGAAAATGGTATCTTGGTGGAATTGTTGGGTCAGAGGGTCAAGGATGGGTCTGAGTGTGTTGACCAGAAATGCCCTCCAGAGAAGTTCGGTCTTACCTGTGGGCTTCTTTCTCACCCAGCTTGCGCTGTACACGGAGAAGTTTGAGGAGTTCCAGAATACTCTTTCCAAAAGCAGTGAGGTGTTCACCACATTTAAACAAGAGATGGAAAAGGTAACACTGGTCTGGGCTGGGTATGGCTGCAGGGGCACAAGCTGTTTCATTCAGAATGTGGTGCCTCCCTGGGAGCTGTTTACAGTAACAGTGTGATTGAGACCAAGGGGTGGAACTGTAGGGAGGGATCACAGCCTTTCTTCCCTTTTGAGGAAGTGTCAGTGGTGTACACACCTTCCCAGTTGCCCTGAAGAAGGGACTATCTTGCTGTTTCCTGTTACTGGCAGTGGGCATTTAACTTGAGAGTGGCATAGAAGGCACTGACTGTCCTGTAATGCCTTGCCTACCCCCATGGGACTGTTCCCCACCTTGGGGACACAGATGCAGACTGCCTTGTACCCTGACCATTTCCTCTGCCTGTCATATAACCCAGATGACTAAGAAGATCAAGAAGCTGGAGAAAGAAACCACCATGTACCGGTCCCGGTGGGAGAGCAGCAACAAGGCCCTGCTGGAGATGGCTGAGGAGGTGGGCTGAGTGTGCTCTGTGGCCAGGGGTGGGGTGTGCAATTACTGAGCAGGCCATTTCCTATAGTTCTAGCAGTGAGTGGTGAAGCTAGCAGGAGGTGGAGCTGGGCATTTCTGTCGAAGTCCAAGACGCTGCCAGCTCTCCCAGGGAAGATGATGAGCCCAGTCATAGGCCTACAGTGGAAGCAAAAAGAAAAAATGGAAGAAAGGAGTAGGGAAAATAAGGGGTGCCAACAATGCATGTAGTTTGTATGTGGAGTGGCCCTGATCATTTGATTTTGTGGTCTGAGCTGTAGGAGAGGAAAGTAACTCAGCGCTAGAGCAGCTACTGCAGCCAGACTTGCTGAATGGCTTTGCTATTCCAGTTCATTGAACCTTCCCTCAAGATCTGTGAGGTGGATGTTATTAGACGAGTTTAAGATAAGATACGCTGAAAAGTCAAGTACTTTGCCAAGGTCTTCTGGTATATAAATGGAGGAATACATTGTCTCTAAGTCAGACATCTCCTCTACACCACATTGCCCTCAACTGACAGCCAGGTCTTGACATAAGCCAGCACTGTTTATTTGAAAGGGGCCAGCTTTGGACTCCAGTCTGCTTCTAGCATTGTTAAAGCGTGAATATTTTCTACCAAGTGACAGTGTGGGGTGGAGGATCGATGGCATGACACTGAAAGGCCCACTTTTTCTCCCTAGAAAACACTCCGGGACAAAGAGATGGAGGGCATGCAGGTGAAAATCCAGCGGCTGGAGAAGCTGTGCCGGGCACTGCAGACAGAACGCAATGACCTGAACAAGAGGGTACAGGACCTGAGTGCTGGTGACCGGGGTCCCCTCACTGACAGCGGGCCTGAGCAAAGGCCAGAGGAGCAGGGTTGCGAGGGGCCTGGAGCCCAAGCACCTGGCTCTCCAGGAGCCACAGAAGCTCCTTGCTGCCCTGGAGCACCAAGCACAGAAGAATCAGGCCAAACAGGGCCCCAGGAGCCCACCTCCACCACCGCCTAGGGAGCCTGGCCCTGGGGGCATGCTGGGAAGGGAGCAAGCAGCCCAGCGAGGCCTGGTCCGTGCAAGGCTCCCACTGCTAAGCAGTCCAGTGCTGAGGCCCAGGGTGCTCTGACCTGGCAGGCATCTGGCACTTTGCAGTCTGAATTTCTTGGGTCAGCTTTACGTACATATGACATGTGCTAGGCCTCATGCATTTATATGTTAAGTGTAAAACAGGCTTGCTTTGGATGGAGATGGTGTGTGTACAGATGAAGTCAGTGGCTCTTCTGTGAGCTGAAGAGTCTTAAAGAGAAGCCATCATCTGTAGCTGCCTTCACAGTGACCTGGCAGGACAAGGGACTTGAACATTTCCCTGCCTGATTTGAGGCTCAGACCCCTCCCCTCCCTGCCCTTCAGGGATCATGACAAGTGACACACCCAAGCTTTGACTGTGTTTCTCTTGTTAGCAGCATTTGGGCAGCTCTGGCTCTCCTAGCTCCCCTGGAAGCTCCTTTGCTTTTCTTAACATGAAAAAGGGTCCCCAGGCAGAGCCTTGGCAGGGCACTCAGAGCTGGTGATCAAACCATTTCCTGCCTCGGACAAGGAATCTGGAGAATGTTTCTGTGTGGGATGATGTGCTGGTAGGGAGCCCCTTGGGCACTGCTTCCCCTGCCCTGTGGTTGTGCCAGGACCAGGCCAATGACGCTTCTCAGTAGCCTTATCATTCACAGGTGCCTCTCTAGCCTGCACAAATGATTGATGAGATCACCCAAAGGATTCTTTCTGAAGGTTCTTCTGTTTTCATTGCACATGACAGTGTTTGTAGTAAGGATCTTCTGAGGAGGGAGAAGGAGGAGTGCTCTAGCAGTGGTGCCTGGGTTCCTGGCCTCCAGTGCCCCACCACCCTCCCCACCCACCTGGCACTTTTGTCATGTTGGTGCTTAGGTTTCCTGTTTGATGAAATCAAATTGTAGTAAGAGAAAGGAAAGGGCTTCTGATGGCCTTACCAGAAGCTTACCTATGGGTTTTAATCCTGAAAGGCCACCGCCAATTCCCACCACCGTCCTCATGCAGCAGTTTCTGGGCCCCAGGAACAACTGTCCCCGGTGGCTTTGTGAGTCTGTTTCTGCTTCCTGCCCTGTGCAGTCCTTGAGATTTGCTCTAGTTCCATTGTCCAAGGAATAAGAGCTGAGGTATGTCCTTGACATCCCACTTCTTCCTGTGTGGGAGCCCCAACTCTTGCCTGACAGCTGATGGATAAAAATGAGAACTAAATCCCAGAAATCCACAAAATGGCTGCAGATATGTGTCTGTCCCCATCCCATACCCCATATCCCCCCTCCCCTTAAATGTTACTCTGTGCTCTGAAAGTTCTGCTGGTTACAAATTTGCCTAGGGTATTAGCCTGTCTTTATACAGGGTATTAGCCTGTCTTTATACAGAGCAATTTTCTGGAACAACAAAATGAGTCTGGATCAGGAAGCAGGGCTCTGCTGGGCTTGGGGTATTGTAACCCTCCAGCTGGGCCTTGGCTTCAGCATAGCTGAGGGAGCCACAAACCAAGGTGGATAGGATGATTGAGCTGCTTCTCACTGTATTTTCCTGAAGCTAATTCATTATACAGGTCCTTTCATCTGTACAACTAGTCCATTCTTTCAGCCCTTAAATCCCCCTCGTAAAATAGGTTCGTGAAGAGTATTATGTACTCCTGAACCATGTTCTTACTGACCAGAGATGGCAAGTGAAAGGTACACCATTTCTCCTCTGCCCCCACAGTAGGTACCACTAATCTGCTTCAGAGTATTTCCTGCTTATCCTGGTATTTCCTCATTTCTCAAGGTTCCCTCAGCAGCCAGTATAAGTGCTGAGACCTGTTTACCATCTCTGGCTGAGATACTGCTCTCCTGTGGAGAAGTGTTTCCCAAGGTCTTTTCTTCCCCCCCTGAAATGCTTGTGTCTAGAATGGTCCCTGAACATGCCTCTTCCAGTTCCAGTAAGGCTCCCTCCTGGCCCCTGTGCCAGGCTGAGGTACACAAGAGCTGTCAACCCCATACAGGGTTTGCTGGGCTATGGAAGCACAGAAGAGGCAGAAGCTTCTGCCCGCCCCTTTAAGATCAGGTGGCCCACGATTGCCTGCCTCACTTTAGCTACCTCTTAAAGCCGATGGTGTTAGGGAGAAGGGGGCTGTTGGAGCCCAGTGTGGTGGGGTGGGAGCTCAGCACAGCAGCCCTTTGAACCAAGTCTAGCTACTGTGGAGCTATAGTGAGCAAGGTGGCCCCAGCTGGGCTTCCCAGGTCAGAATTAATAGGCCCTGGGCATCCAGGCCAGGCTATAGGTAGGGTTCCCATTCCTCTAACTCCATTGACCAAATCTTAATCACTACAGCTGCTCTGCTTGCTCTGCTTTCCAAAGCCAGCCCAGGTACTTGAGTGCTGCCCACACCAGCCAGGCACCTGGGCCAGATGCAGGGGATGTGGCCTATCTGAAGGCCGGTGCCTTCCTCACTAGGGCAGGTCCCATGCACATGACCTCCATTCTAGGACCAAGAGCTGTGTTGGTTTCTTAGATTGCTAGCTTTTCCTCCAAGGGACCACAGCAGGTGAAGCTCACAGCACAGAGCCCTTGGCTCTGCTGACAGTTGTTTGTGTTCAGGACCTTGTCCAGCTGAGAGCTTCATGTACACCAGATTCTGAGAGGTGTCAGCAGCACTTTTTTTGTTTGCTTTCCATGAGGTTTTTGGACCATGGGCTGAGCTCAGGCACTTTTCTGTAAGAGAATGTTATGTCTGTAAAGATGGTTATTTTCCCTCCTCCACCCCATTGTGGTGGCCCTGCAGAGGGCTGACCAAGAGGCCATGGAGCTGCCCTGGTGTCTATGGGGGAGGGCCAAGGCCTGCTGAGTTGATGCTCCAGCTGCTGCTCCAGCCTTCCTACCTTGCACAGCACAGAGGGTCACCCCAGGGACAGCCAGGCACCTGCCTGGGGGAGGGGTGCAGCCATCTGTCACTGTAACTGCTTCCCTTATGGCCTAACTTGGCCTCCCAGATTTGTTTGAAGCTGTGCTGACAGCTTTTTTTGGTCTCCTTTTGGTATTCACAACAGCCAAGGACTTGATTTTGATGTATTTTAAACCACATTAAATAAAGAGTCTGTTGCCTTATTGCTTTTTTCCTGACCTTTGTGGTCATTTGGACTTCTGGATCCATCTAGCCATCAATGATTTGTCTGGATCTGCTGCCAAGTCTTGGGCTATGTCCTGACACCCTGCATCTTCTAAAGTGCCCTCCTTCCTTCCAGCTCAGGACACGCAGATTCACTGCAGCTGCCTGAGTGGAGCCCTTGGCAAAGTTGGCATGATGCTCATGTATATGGGAGCACCAGAGATGATTTTCATTCAGTCAAAAATTGTCCCTACCTTCTGAGGGCTCGCAGGCTGGTGAGGGGAAAAGGAATGTTTAGATATAGAGAGGGTGGTGATGCTATGGGATCAAAGAGGAGAGAGGCCCTGCCCTTCAGACAGGGAATGTGAGTGGATACCTGGAAGGGCCTATGACCCACAGGGCAGATAGAATGACAACTTCATTTAGTAACTGGTTCAGCTAGCAATGTGGGTGACTCAAGGGTAGTGGAGGAGATGAGACGGGCCAAATCACCAAGAGCCTGTGTATCAGGTGAAGGGATGTGGGCTATATCCAAAGGGCAGGGGGACCCACTGAAGGTGTTTAGGTAGGAGATAGGGTCCATGTGGAAGGCAAAAAGCAAGGACAGCAGAAATCTAGGCACATGCCAACTAAGGTCCAAATTAAGATGAGTGGCATCACTATTGGGCTGTCTGCCATGGGCAGCATCTCTTGGCACAGGTCCTCCAGGTTCCTTTCCTTTTATATATATATCTTTTATTGATTTCAGAGAAAGGAAGGGAAAGAGAAACATCAATGATCAAAGAGAGTCATCATTGATCAGCTGCCTACTGCACGCAGGCATGTGCCCTGACCGGGAATCAACCGTGATCTGGATCCTAGGCCAACGCTCAGCCGCTGAGCTGCGCCCGGCAGGTGGTCCCTTTCCTCTGATTCTGTGCATTCCTTGAATGTGGATTCTGCCTGCAGTTCTTAAGAATTAACTGGTATCGCCCTAGCTGGGTGGCTCCATTGGTTGGAGCATCGTCCCCAAAAGATTTCCGGTTCGATTCCCAGTCCATCAGGGCACATACCCAGGTTGCAGGTTTGATCCCCAGTCAGGGTCAGGGCAAGTACTCAAGGCAACCAATAGATGTTTCTCTCTCACATTGATGCTTCTCTCACATTGATGTTCTTCTCTCTCAAAATCAGTGAAAATGTATCCCACCCCC